ATCTTGAGTTGATTTTTGTATAAGGTTTAAGGAAGGGGGTTACAATTTTCCACATATGGCTAGCCAGTTCTCCCAGCACCATTTATTAAATAGGGAGTCCTTTTCCCATTGCTTATTTGTGTCAGGATTGTTGAAGATCAGATGGTTGTAGGTGTGCAGTCTTATTTCTGAGTTCTCTATTCTGCTCATTGGTCTATGCGTTTGTTTTTATACCAGTACCACGCTGCTTTGGTTACTGTGGCTCTGTAGTATAGTTTGGAGTTGGGTAACATGATGTTTCCAGCTTTTTTCCTTTTGTTAGGATTGTCTTCACTATTTGGGCTTTTTTTTTTTTCAGTTCTGTATGAATTTTAAAATAGTCTTTTCTAATTTTTTGAAGAATGTCAATGGTAGTTTAATGGGAATAGCATTGAATCTATAAATTACTTTGTGCAGTACAGTCATTTTCATGATATTGATTCTTCTTATCTATGAGCATAAAATGTTTTTCCATTTGTTTGTTTCCTCTCTGATTTCCTTGAGCAGTGGTTTGTAGTTCTTCTCAAGGAGGTCCTTCACTTCCCTTGTTATCTGTATTCCTAAGTATTTTATTCTTTGTGTGGCAATTGTGAATGGGACTTCATTTACGGTTTGACTCTCTGCTTGCCTGTTGTTGGCATAAAGGAATGCCAGTGATTTTTGCGCATTGATTTTGTAAGTTGAGACTTTGCTGAAGTTGCTTATCAGCTTAAGAAGCTTTTGGGCTGAGATGATGGGGTTTTCTAAATATAGGACATGTCATCCGCAAACAGGGATAGTTTGCCTTCCTCTCTTCCTATTTGAATACTCTTTATCTATTTCTCTTGCCTGATTGTCCTGGCTAGAACTTCCAATACTATGTTGAATAGGAGTGGTGAGAGAAGGCATCCATGTCTTGGTATACTTTCTTTTTACCCATAAATCTACCTTACTTCTTTAATGGCTGCAGAATATCCCATGGAGGGCCTCACATTGTCATCCAAGAATCTGACACGATTGACAGTTCATTTGAAGCCTATCTCTTTTTAATTCGGACAGCTGGGCTCTGAATTAATAGAGATAGGCTTCAAATGAACTTTCACTGCTTGTTATTAAATAGTCCATGGGCTTTTTCTAGCAATATTTTTATCTTAGCTGTCAGAAAGCTCTGTATGAAATGTTATTCTCGATTACAATCTTAGGACCCTGGTGCAAAGATTTATGTAATTATAATCTTAGGACCCTGGTACATAACTCCTTTAAAAATTTGTATTCTAGTTTCCATATTAATTCTCACTTAAATTTTTTTATTTTAGGTAAAATATAAATCAGAAATAAAAATACAATGGCTTATCAATTAAAGCTCTAATAATGACCTATATGAATTATTTATAGCATAATGAAAGCCGCTAAATTACTTGCATCTTGTATTTATTTGTTTCTTATTTATTTATTTATTTATTTATTTATTGAGACGGAGTCTCACTCTGTCGCCCAGGCTGGAGTGCAGTGGCGGGGTCTCGGCTTACTGCAAACTCCTCCCCCCAGGTTCACGCCATTCTCCTGCCTCAGCCTCCCGAGTAGCTGG